GGTATTAGATATGGAACCGGTAGGCAGTTCTAGGAAACAAATCCCGGTGATCTTAGGTCGACCTTTCTTGGCTACGGCCAATGCATGCATTAATTATCGGACCGGGGTTATGGAAGTTTCATTTGGTAACATGCAAGTGAAACTTAATGTTTTCCAAACATCCCAAGAACCTCATGAGAGAGAGGAGTGCTTATTAGTGGTGGAAGAGGCTTTGCCATCCATTCTTGTAGAGGACCCTTTAGAGGCTTGTCTAGCTCATTTTGGGTTTGAAAATTTTGATATTGATGGGTCGGTTGAGGAGGTGAATGTCTTGCTTAATTCTTCTTCTACACCAGATTTCTCTCCATGGAAAGCCCGGTTTGAGTCACTTCCTCCTCTGTCGAGAGAGCCTGTCATACCATCTTTGGTCACACCACCTATACTTGAGTTGAAGCCACTCCCGGCCGTACTCAAGTATGCATTTTTAGGGCCCCAAGATACTTTACCGGTCATCATTGCATCTGACATGACTGCAGCGCAGGAGAGTCAGTTAATGAGTGTTCTCATGGCACATCGGAGTGCTATAGGGTGGTCAGTGGCTGATTTGAAAGGGATAGATCCCTCCGTGTGCATGCATTATATACACCTAGAGGAGGACTCCAAACCTTCTCGTGAAATACAACAGAGACTAAATCCTAATATGAAAGAGGTGGTGAAGAAGGAGGTTTTGAAATTGTTGGATGCAGGTATCATATACCCCATCTCAGATAGCAAGTGGGTGAGTCCCACACAAATGGTGCCCAAGAAATCGGGCATCACCGTTGTTGAGAATGAGGGAAGAGAGTTAGTCCCCACACGAACCACTACTGGGTGGCGAGTGTGCATTGATTATAGGAGACTAAATTCCTTGACTAGGAAGGACCATTTTCCCCTACCTTTCATTGACTAAATTCTAGAGCGGTTAGCGGGGCAGGGTTTAGATTGTTTTCTTGATGGCTACTCGGGGTATAATTAAGTCCCGGGGTACCCCGCTGACCAGGAAAAGACCACATTCACATGCCTTTTTGGCACTTTTGCTTACAGGCGCATGCCCTCCGGGCTATGTAATGCACCAGCGACCTTTCAACGGTGTATGATGGCCATTTTCTCCGATATGGTAGAGAAATTCTTAGGTCTTTATGGATGACTTTTCAATGTTTGGACCATCTTTTGAGGAATGCCTTAGGAACTTGACTAGAGTGTTAAAACGATGTATTGAGGCAAACCTAATCTTGAGTTGGGAAAAGAGCCATTTTATGGTTCGTGAGGGTATAGTGTTGGGATACATTGTGTCCCCTCGAGGTATAGAGGTTGACAAGGCTAAGGTTGCAGGCCTTCCTCCACCCAATTCCATGCGTCAAATTAGGTCTTTCTTAGGGCATACAAGTTTTTACCGTAGGTTCATCAAAGACTTTAGTAAGATATCACGTCCTTTGTGTAGTTTACTGGTTAAGGACGCGCCTTTTGTCTTTGATAAGGCATGCTTAAAGGTATTTGAAACACTGAGAATGGCCTTGACCACCGCCCCAATCATGAAATCACCAGATTGGTCGCTTCCCTTTGAAATCATGTGTGATGCCTCCGATTATGTTGTCGGGGCTGTGTTGGGCCAAAGGGTCAATAAGGCACCATTTGCTATATATTATGCTAGCCGCACTCTCTCGGATGCTCAATTGAACTACATTACTACCGAGAAAGAGTTACTAGCTGTGGTTTTTGCCTTAGACAAATTCCGGTCTTATCTCCTAGGTTCCAAGGTCATAGTCTTTACTGATCATGCTGCTTTGCGGTATTTACTATCTAAGAAAGAGACCAAACTTAGGTTGATTAGATGGATTTTGTTGCTTCAGGAATTTGATTTAGAGATCCGTGATAAGAAAGGATCTGAGAATATGGTGGCAGATCATCTCTCCCGAATCCTCGTTGAGTATAATAGCGACCTTTTATTTTGCATGATTCATTTCCGGATGAACAACTTTTCGAGCTGTCACAAGCGAGCCCCCCGTGGTTTACACATATTGTGAATTACTTGGCCATTGGGCAAATTCCGCAGAATTGGTCTAAACAAGACAAAGACCGATTCTTTTCACACAAACCAACTTAGTAGCCAAAAAGCCTCATTCGGCGACTAAAGGTTTTAGTGGCGGAAACATAACATTTGCCGACTAAACTAAATTTAGTAGCTAAATGTAGTCACTTTCGGCGACCAAACAAAGTTTAGTCGCCAATACTATCGCCAACAGCGTAAAGGCGACGAGATTAGCGACAAAATATTTTAGTCGCTAAATCGTTTCAGCGACCAAATATTGGACTTTTGGCTACCAATATTTTGGTAGCCAAAAGTGACATTTCTTGTAGTGATGTTGATATTCAATTTTTTGATAGCAGCTTTTGCACAAATCAATCCAAAGGTTGTCAACATCAATTTGTTCGATGTACCCAAGTATTCGAAAATATGAAACCTACAAAATATTTGAAAAAACATAAATTAATCCCTCTATATACAAATTATATATATATCGTTTAATTTTCATTAATTGAGATGATAACAATTCTTACCTTTGGCATGGATGCAAAATCACGTATTCGAAATCTTTTGGCATTTGATATTATCAATAACTGTGAAATTGAAAATCCATTTTTTCGATTCCAAGATACCAACTTTTGTGATATAAGATTCATAGCAAGCCTAGATAAACATGTCAATATATATATATATATATATATAATTGGTTAATATTATACAGTCATAACATACCACACTTGAATATGATTTGTATAACGGAGTGAATGATTAATATATAACTTGCTGTATTTGCATGTAGTGAGACATGGACCTAAAAGTTGAGAAAAGATAATTTATTAATATCAATATTTGTATATACATGTAGATATTATAAAAGTGAATGAAAAGTAATCTTACCATGATAATCTTTAACTGTTAATCCAATGGCAAACAAAATATTATCATTCTCGAGAATATGATATAGTTGCATGCCATCAGTTGTTGCAAACGCATCTCATAGAATTAATCTTACTAATGTGAAACTTTTTTTACAATTAAAAAAAAAGTTGAGATTAGGAAAAATATTATAATTCGTAGAGTATTTCAAATTTGGTAAAGACACAGAAATATGTTATAGTATCATACCTTGTATCAAGTAGTAGAATCTCTCTCTTCTAATTATCACGATTTGCAATACCTTGATATTCAGTTACACTAACAACCAAGCCAGTCACATCTGCATATTTTAGCATTGGCATGTTTATTGTTTTGATAGTTTAAATTTTTGTATAGGTAATAAACTATGTAAGTATATAATCTAGATAAGTATCATTTGGTAAAAGTAACGTACCTATTAATTAAACATCTTGATGAAAAATTGGCCAATGTCTATTAATTTTTTAATGAAATACCATTGAAGTGGTATATTATTATCATGATCAAGTATGTGCACAATTGTTGTATTATTAGTAAAAGACATCTTATAAAAATATGGCACCAACTTGAATTTCTCATCAGCCAATGTAACATGAACTCCTTTAAAACAATATATTTTTTCCTTCAATTAAATGTTCTTTGAAGTAATCATAATCCTCAGAGCATACAGTTCTTTCCATGGCATCACCATTTGAAAAAATGTAATAAGTACACATTTTTAACATAATATAAAACAAAATATTTAACAATTATCTCATGATAAGAGTTGTAAATACTTGTCCATCAACAAAAATCATTTTGAATGTCATATTTCCTCTAGGACAATTAGTTACAGATAACAATCTGACTAACTGAGCTTTAATGCTCCAATTACTTGCATATGGATGTAAATTAGCAAAATAGGAATATCTGATAATTCTATCACCTATTAACAATATAGATGCATGTGAGCAAAATATGAATTTATAATTTTTATATGACGTATCTATAGATTTCAAGAAATTTGAAAATGAAAATATTAAGAATTTTTAATAAAAAAATAAAAAAATGTTAAGTTTACATTATGATAAAATTGAAAAAATAAGTAATGAATTATTATACAAAAACTATTATACAAACATATTTTGTAAGGGTAAGTTTTTTAATTATTTTTATTAAATGAAAATGAAAAAAAAAAAAGAAGAAGAAAGATGAGATCATCCAATTTTTTGTATACTAAATGTAATGTAGTAAGTATTGTATAATTAAAGAACAAAAAAAACATAGTCATTGAAATTTTGAAAAGAATTTTTATATCAATCTTCAAATGCCATCAAGGACATCATGATATACAACATTTTTTGTGTAATTTGACGGTTGGTCAACCTTATTAACAATCAATATCTTCAAGCCTGATGGTGTGGTAACACGCGATAAAGCAACATATAACTGACCATGGGAGAATACTGGATTAGGAAAGTATACACCAACTTTTTTTTAAAGTCTGACCTTGACTTTTGTTTATGGTCACTGCAAATGTTAATTTTATGGAAAATTGTCTTCTTTTAATCGGGACAGGTGAATGTGTGGTAGATGGTGATAAAATGATATGTGGAATAAAGACTCCTTCCCCAATATTTGAACCCGTAATCACTCGTGCCTCAATCACTTTATCTCCTATTTTCTCAACAATAAGACGGGTGCCATTACATAAACCTTGAGATTGATTGAGATTTATTAGTAGCATTATAGGCGCTCCCTTTTTGAGTTTAAGGCAATGACTTGGAATTCCTGGAAAATTTAATGAGTGCAATAACTCTGGTAGATACATGCCTTCGTCAATGTTCTCACCCTCAGCTGGACATATCGTATCTGCACTTAAGGTATTTTCGAGATTCTCTAGGCAACATTGATAGCATTATGACATTTAATTCATCAACATCAGCATTTTTTGGTGCTAAGATGCCACGTTCTTTCAAGTAAGAACTGTCACTGTATCTAGTACTTAACTCTCGATAGATTGCATGGATCAAATCATGTAAAGCATGTGATCCATTTCTAATCAAGAATTGTTCTGGAATTTTAATCCAATTAGTCTCCCCGCCTTCAGTGAAAGAAATTCCAGGTATTTTTCATCACCAATCATCAATATCCAATTAGCAAAATCCCTTAGTTGTTGACACATTTGAATAGAAGTATCACGGGCCATAATACGCATATTGGTCCTCAAATGCAACACACGACAATGATTCCAAATAGTCGATTCCTTCAACGGCACTACAAGTGTGGCTTCCCGCCTACCTTTTGGTACTACAGGTAAAATTTGTCTGAAGTCACCACCAAGTATGAATAGTTTTCCACCAAATACACAATCACTTGAACAAAATTCTATACTCTTTAGTATATCTCTGAAAGTACGATCAACTGCCTCAAATCCATAACGATGGTGCATTGGAGCTTCATCCCATATGATCAATGATGCCTCTTGAATTAATTTTCCCAATTCAGTCTGTTGATTAATGGTACAACTTGAGAATTCATTCAAATTAATTGAAATTTTAAAGCGTGAATGCACAGTTCTACCTCCCGGTAACAGCAAAGCCGCAATTGCAGATGATACAACTGAAAGGACAATTTTTTCTGATCTAAACTTTGCTATCAATGTTTTCTATAGATATGTTTTTCTTGTTCCCCCACTTCCGTAAAGGAAAAATAAACCCCTTTTTTACAATTGTATGCATTCATTATGGTGTCATAAACTTCTAACTGATCACTATTTAAACCAGAATGTAATTCATTGAACAATTGTTTTTCCAAAACACTATCATACTCCATTTCTTCTCTGATGAGCCTATTTGTCACAAATTGAGCACCTTGTGAAGATGGCAATGGCATTGGAGGGAAATCTTTGAGAGATCTTCTATTTCTATTTAATATATGCTCAATTTCGAGAAATCCTAATTTTTTTAAGTCTTCATCGTCAAGATGTAGATCATTATCTCTCATATCTCTTTTGATTCTATATTGTATATCATCGGTGAAACTTTTCCAATGACGTTCCCATAATTCGACTGTATTGGTTATATCAGAAAACATGAGCATTGTGCAATACATATGTCGAAGTTTTGTTGTTGATGCCTAATTTGATGCTTCTACACATGCCTCGTGCCATTTATTATCATCATCGAGTAGACCAAGTGCAATACATGTAGATTTAAATGTTGTATGCACGACCCCATTTACAATTCTGATATGCTCAAAACCTTCTGCACCACGAACCTTATTCAATAACATTCTCAAATAATATCTCTCACCCAATGTTGGATGTGCATATGGCAATCTACCAATACATTTATGTTTTTTTTGGACGTCCCATTCTTTTTTATCTCTTTTCCATACCCATTTTGTTGGAAATTCAACATAAGTCAACTCCTTTGCAGATTGATGGGTTCTGTTTGCTTCAAACCATTTGGTCAACATTGTGTCATGAACACGTTGTTGGTCAATAACTTTGTATAGATGATCATTGTCATTAAATATAACAAATTGTTGACCTGGAATATGATATTGTAAATGCTGAACAGAAGGAGTTTGTTTCTGAATTTCAAACTCAAATATCCTCCAACATGCTTCAATCGCAGACACGTATCGAGCATCCAAATACTGTTTGATCTCATTAACTTGTTTGTAATGTCGTTGCCCATTATTGTTTGGATGAATAACATTATCCTCAATCACAGTTATCGTACGATCAGGCCCTTTGTTGACGTATTTGTACAAATATTTCATCAACTTCGGGTGCACACATCGTTCAATATTAATATGGCAATCATATCGCACTAAAAGATCATGATTATATGGAATGACCTATCTGTTATCAACTATAAATCCATTTATGTTTATTGTGTTGCCCTCATTACATCTGCGCCTGTATGATACAAATCCATTATCATCAATTGTTGTTTCATTACAAAATTTCTTTGGATAATGTTTTGTACACTTTCCATCTACCATGCATGGAGCATTGGGATTAGCAGCACCACAAGGTCCATGTATCATGCATCTGACAACAGTCTCATATGCCAATGGGTCTGCATTTTTGTCAAGCAATTCAACACATAAACTCATCAATTTGTTCAGGTGTGATTGGTTTATTCTCCGATGCCAATGTGATTGTAATGTGAGAATGCAGCAATCCCCGTTTTTGAAACTCAATGACGTAAATAACTATTCATAAAAATAATTATTGATACATTAGACATTTAAGAGTATTTGTTATATCATAAATGCATAGGTGTTAGAATAATAATACCTGAAAGTGCTTCTCCAAATATTTTATTTTCCTTTAAGTTAGTTAGTAGTTGTTTAAACTTAATCCGAAAAACTCTAGCAACGATATCAGGTCTATTTTCTACACGTTGATTCGGTAGTCTTGGAAGATCAACTTTTATTTCTGGCCATATAAGATTGTATGTGAACGTGATAAAAAAATCAGGAGCTCCAATAGTTCTGCAAATTGCCATAGTATCTTGATAATGTTAGATCATATTATGTGGCCCCCCAGAGAATGATGAAGGCAACACAAATCTTCTCCCTACTGCTGACGCATCTACATCTTCAGCAACTGCAGCATCTTCTATTCCTTGATATAGATCTGCGTGTAACTTAGCTTGATGGGTCTTGATGTAATTCGATCTAGTTTGCTCAATAGCAGCATAACAGTCAATGACAAATTATTGAAACAAACGCCCTCCTCTTAAAAGTGTTTTACCTTCAAATTCTCTATGTTGGAGTCTAAATGCATAAAATTCTCTAATTGACACATTGTTTTGAGATCTACTTGGGGATGTATTAAAAGAGATGCTGCACCTCCATCCATCTGTACCATATGGAAACAGTAATGGGTACTATAGTGGTACATATGATGGATGTATTTCACTGATTCTTCTTAATATACCATCATTTTTTTGAACAATGATGCCACGATGTGTTTCAGTTCCAATATCATCACCAATGATTATCGCCGCAACTTCGTTTGCAGTTGGCCTGATATATTGTTGTTCACCCCTGGAGTTTAAAATACGCACATGTAAATTCAATACATATGATCCCACAACAAATCTCTAGTACTTTGAAATATTTTCACATAAGCATTAACTGCATTTAACATTTCTTGTAAACCTTCCAATATTGAAAAATTAATGACTGAAATATTTGTACTAGTTTGGACTATCACATCAAGACGATTTTCCAATTCATGCTCTGTATCATATATATACAGTTGGGCAAACTTAGGTTTCTGACCAGGAGTTGGTAACAGTGACCCTATTCTATGATAATTTTCCCCGCTAATCTGAAATGCATATGGACCTCTTCCATCTAAAACTGAATGATCTACTTTTCCACCCATTGATATGAAAAACAACATTGAATTATACATTCTAATATTTTCCATAAAACTTGCATTCCTCCATTATGCATCTAAGAAGTCAGGAGCGTGTGACAATAAAGGTAAAAAGACCTCCCCAGCTTGACAACATAATTTGAATTTGGGATTGGTTTTAGAACTTGTCACGACCAAACCCGCCCCTATGGGTTTAGCGTCGTAACCGGCCAATAATCTGAGATTACCAAAGGCCTTCCTGTACAATCAAAATAATCCGGGCTTGCGGAAGCAATAAACAAAAGAACCAATAGTCCAATGAGCTGTGCATTTATATGAACAAATAATCACATGCAAAAGCGTTAATTTACCCACTTACATTACAAAACATACAACAAAATATCTTATACAAAACATATGTACGGGTCAAAAATGTATAACATAACCGAAATCTTGCTAACGGCCTTCCAAGCCTAGCCCTAACTCGGAGGCACCCAAAATACTTGGTAGGCTTCAAAACGGTGACTCGGTTCAAGACTCCGCCCAGGCTTGACTTTCGAGCGCTCACCTATAAATATATATATAAACAGTGAGCTAAAGCCCAGTGAATAATATTAAAGTAAAGGGGTTAGTGAACGAATTCCAAATATATCATATTCGTAAAACAAACCATGACACAATCATTCGTATCAGTCTCATATCGGAACATAACATAATGGTACATCTCATAGAACATATTACATATCGTCTTCTGACTAGAGTAATCGGTTTCGGATACCGATTAAACACATATCACCATAATGAAGTGGCTAACGAGATCTCGTAATCACATATATGTCATGGACCCGCATTTACATGCCGTCCCCCATGACTTGGGACTATCTATGGATGCCATAATAGATTTCAAACATAGGACATTCATTCATGTAAACAATATCATTTCAGAAATCATAACTTATCATAACTCGTTTGGAACATAATTCATATCAACATATCTTAACAGAAATGTTACTTACAGTGGGCTTCCAGAAACGGTTGGTCAGTCTTCGAGTCTTGACCTACAAACATAAATGTACATAGCACAAAACATGTCTCATTATTACGTATTCATGTGGCCATACATGGCTTAGCTTTCTTACTTTAACTTCCTATTCATTCCATGTCACATAGCTTGTTCATATAGAACCACATACTCGGATTCGACACATAATTTTTAATTCACTTACGTATGTTGTTTCTTAGCTTATTAATCTTTAATGGCTCATAAATCATGCCTAAGAATGTCCGAAAAGAGATGTGAGTGAAGATATGTACTTAAAACATCTTTTGAAAACATGCTAAAAATAAGCTGGTGGTTAGAGCCAGCTTTTCGTGGCTAGAGCCAGCTGAAGGCAAAAACTGAGCTCGCTCGAGCCATCACTCCTTCGCTCGAGCCAGCTTTTGCAGAGTTCAAAATACTAGGAGCTCGTAATGTTGGCTTGAGCCACCACTTCTTCACTCCAGCCAACTGTAAATTTCGGGGCACCAAGCTTAACAAAAATGGCTTCCAAACAACTTTCAAAACTTAGGGTCTTGCATAATTTGATCAAATACATAAAATAGCTTTAGAAAAATCCAATACAAGTGTAGCAACCCTCACTTTATCCTAGTCATGCTTACGTACATTTTTGCATGATCCTTGTATTGATTAAGCTTGCATCTTTGTAGATTTTGATTAGTTTCGTTTAAGTGTTGCTTGTATGTTTTATTCCTTGCTTGGTGTGAGTTTAGCCGAGGTCATCTTAAGCCTAGGTTACACCTTTGAACTTCTTACACCTAGGACCATCTTAGAACCACTTTGGTTGACCTCCACCCTCACCCTGACAGGTTGGCCGAGATGTCATTATCTAGGCCGAGGTGTTCATCACCAAGCCCGAGATATGTATTATCTAGGCCGAGATATTATACCAAAGTGATCTTGTCCCTGGACTGGTACGACCTAGACCGAGGTATGGCACATCTAGGCTAAGGTGTGGCACAACTAGGCCAAGTGTTGTCCTTCCTAGCCGAGATCATTGAGACCGTACTTACTGAAGCCTTTATGTTCTTCAAGAGGGAAACTCAGATTTTCCCAGACTTCATTTCCTTGAATGTGGTCATCGGGAACACACCTCGGCCAAGAGGTGTAGGACCTCGGCCTAGACCTGGTTAGTACCCAGCATGTTTTCCCGAGATAAAAAGGCAGTGTTGTAACTTCCAGCATGTTTTGCTTTGTTTTGACTTGATTTTGAAAGAAATGCCGAGATCCTTTCTTATCATGTAAAGCTTGTTTTAAAGATGCATTTCATATCCATCTTTGAGCATCTCTTCTTGTCTTCTTGAAATGCATTCAATGGGATTTATTATGTACTTGTAGGCTTTGGATCCTTGCTTGTAATTCCTACACCCGAAGAACTATGTGAGTGGTATTTTTAATAAAGCTATGTTATAATGTTTTGATAAAAGCCTTGCTTTGCTTTGTTTTGGAAAAGTATTTGATCAGGCATGAATAGTTTTGTATCACGTATTATATTTGTTTTGATGACATTTTGGGAAGTCCTTAGTGCGAGGGGACTATAATGCAACTGCACCCTTGTTTTGCCATTGACGGTTTTCCGCGTGGGTTTGTTTGTCCGGAATGTCATCCTTTGTATTATATTAATACTAGTAAGCATCCCTTGAAGATTTGAAAGACTTGATTAATGGACTTGGTTCATCCCTTGATTTTGTATAAGTTATGCTATGTATTGTTTAGAAAAGAGATCTTGATTATCATTCATGCAAAACCTTTATTACTGGTATCATTCACTGAGTATCCAAGTTCACCCTCTCCATATATATGTAGGTGATGAATAGGAAGGTGGTGACGCCTAGATGATTGTTGCAAGATGTTTTTGGATTCATGTTTTGTAGCATCTTGAAGATTCTGCTTCGTGGCTTGTAGTTATTTCTTTTGTATATGTCAGCTTGAGAAGCCTTTTGATCAAGATGTATTTTGTACTTTATTTTGTTGTATCCAAGTTGTAAACTATATTAAGATGTATGTCATTTCATTTGATCTATGCACAGCTCTTGTGGACTATTTAGTTTTAAATTTATTGCTTCCGCACATGTAAACCCCATATGTATACTCTGATTGTGTGTGAATCTTTGCAAGTTGGCCTTGGTAATCTCAGATTACTGGCCATCACGACACCATTCTACTAGAGGCGGAATGGGGTTGTGACAGATTGGTATCGTAGCACGAGATTCTTATAGTACGTTATTCACACACTTTGAGTCCTAAAGAGATAGGATGTCCCATAGAATGATGTTAGGATTGCATCATATTGCTTGCTACTTGACAAGGTGTGCATCATCTCGGCATAACTATTTGTTACTTGCATACATGTTTATTTGCTCATTTTGTTTTAAAGTCATATTTTGCATACTCCTAGCATCATGAGAAGAGGTAGACCCCCAATTGGCTGAGATCAGTCCGAAGACAGGTTGGACAGATTAGAAAGGATAGTTGAAAGTTTGGCCGATGAGTTAAGGCAAGCAAGGTAATTATGTCGGCTTTGCTTTGTATTC